AGTCGATTTCTAGATCTAGAAATCTAGATATAGATATAGATTTCTAGATCTATTTAATTAATTTTGGTCTTTGAATGGATACAGTGTGGTGGTAAATACTGTTTAAAATTGTCATTTGACGTTTAACTGTATTCATTTTTTTTTAATTTAGGGTCTTTTGTTAGTAGATGCTATATTAGTCAAATTTGTTTGTTGTTGTTTTTTATACGTGTACAGAAAATGACTAGATTAGTGAAAAAAAAATTGAAATTATGCAAAAACAAAGCTTAGATCTAGATCTAGTCCCTAAATTCTTCCGTCTCTAAACACTATACCCCCACCCCCCTCTCTCTCTCTCTCTCTCTCTCTCTCTCTCTCTCTCTCTCTCTCTCTCTCTCTCTCTCGTGTCTCGTTATGCGCGTCTTTCTATCGGAGTCTCTATTCAACTGTGCGTATTTTTACATATCATGTTTCTTCTTTTCTATCAGTCTGTGAGAACGTAAAGCTTTTATTGTTATTATTTCCGGTTTTCATTTGTGTTGGTGTTTCCACACGCCTGGGTTTTATGGTTGCTGCAGTTGCTTTTGTTTGATTCTTATTACATTTTGTATTTATTTCGCGGGAATAAGAGAAAAACTGAGATTACAATGTCTAGAAATTGTTAATTCATCCCCTCCCCCACCCCCCACACACCCACATATGAATTAATAATGACATTTTTACCAATCAGCACAATCGGCTACACTATGTTGCTTGTCTTTTTTTTAATTGTTTCATTGTTGGGGACATGGTAGGGAATGGACTCCACATAAAGCTCAGTGTGCTTCTGTCTGTCTGTATTATAAATTGATATAATGTTCATACATATCTTTTTGTGTCCGTCAAAGTTTTTGTGATGTTGTAGACCTAGACTATGAAGCCAATAACATGGCCTTATTCGGAGTAATGGATCTAGTTTTGTTAAAGATTGATAATTTCATATTCCGAGTAATTTCTTCAGATTGTGAATAACAAAACAATTCTTTGTATGATCAGTAACTTCATAAAAATATTCTCATATGTTTCATCAAGACAAAATTCTGTTAAAGTTTTTTATTTATTTAGATTTTGACGTAACAAAACGCGGCCCTCGGATTGGCGCTTCCGTCTCACTGGGCGGGGTCTCCCGACCGCTGGGGGCCGCAGGGCGTAACAGTCGTACAGCTATTGGTCAACGTGGGCAGGGCTAGAGGTAAAGAGGCTGTACTAAGCAGTGAAATGGGGCACAGATAGGTTTGCTTGGCAAGTGAACCAAATGAATGCTGTTGTTGATATTCTTACCCTGACTTGTTTGCTTGTTTCTGTATCTCAAGGGTTTAGGAGATGTAAATATAAATCTAAGGTTTCTGTTGGTACATTTTTGTACATGTAAATCTAAGGTTTCTGTTGCTTGATATGAAGCTGTTATACCTTTCAGTTTCAAGCTGTCATGAGCATTTTTCTGTCTTTACAAGTCTTCTCGATTTATCTTAACGATGTTTTCCCTTTTGCATGTTCATCGCTTCCTCAATAACCTCTTTTTTTTTTCTTCTTCACTTGCACTTCTCTGCGTTCTACTATTGTGCCACATTTGATGAAGTACCACCCTGGACGCTGGTTCAGTAACAAATAAGTGCACTATACCCCCCCCCCAACACACACACACACCAAAAAAAACAAAAAAACAACCCATACACACATTCTGCCCTTTCCCCATTTCTCTTTCTTTTTAATAATAATAATTGCCTTTATAAAGCGCATATCCATGCTCAAAAGCATGCTGTATGCGCTTTACAACTATAATTACCCCAGTAGACCCTCTGAGAACACTTAGAAACACCCCCCCCCCCCCTCTGTCTGTCTGTCTGTCTGTCTGTCTGTCTGTCTGTCTGTCTGTCTGTCTGTCTGTCTGTCTGTCTGTCTGTCTGTCTGTCTGTCTGTCTGTCTGTCTGTCTGTCTGTCTGTCTGTCTGTCTGTCTGTCTGTCTGTCTGTCTCTCTCTCTTTCTCTCTCTCTCTCTCTCTCTCTCTCTCTCTCTCTCTCTCTCTCTCTCTCTCTCTCTCTCTCTTTTGGTCCTGCTCTCTTGTTTATCTTATAGCTCCTGACCTTAGGATTACACTATAAGACACTAAAACAAATGGTGGGTCGTAAAATATTAAGAAGTCACTTTTATACTGAATTCTGAACTTTAAACTTTGGTAGAAATTGGTTCAGTGTGTGTACAGGGTTATATTCTTGAGAGAGGGAGGGGGGAGAAGTAAGAGACAATTACGGGAATATTATGTGTGTAAATCAAGCAAGAAGGTGCGTATGCGGTTAGCGGGCTCAAAATGATGGCCGGTCTATGCCTATAAATCTGGAGCACGGCCGTCTTAGATTTGGCGTTAATGGTTCTTGGAGCACTCCTTGGTGTGTCCAGAACGGGTTGGGCGTCACTGTTTCCGCGTTTTTTACCCGCTACAAGCCGGAGAAATCACAAGTCTAACACTAATTTACACCATGTCAACACGCCACACGCATGTGTAACAGACCTGTCCGTTTATGATGAACTTATGAAAGGGCAACTAACGGACGACATTCTTCTTTCTCTCCTTTGTTCTGTTTGGAGTTTTTTACTTCTATTTTAGGACGATTTTTTGTTGCTGTCTTCTTTGCCTTTTCTTTTGGAAAGACGCGAGAGGGGTGGGTTGGGTTGCTGTGGAAAGAAGGGAGACAGCAGGATGAGCCTATTTTACGTCCGTAAAGGTGTAAAATGTTTGATCTAAATCTAGTGGTAGTCCTGATCTTGCGCACTGTCGTTTTTGATAAGGCCCCTTGCTCTTCGTTTGTCTTCGATTGCTGTAGGTAAGCTATTTAATAATACTATTCTCTTTCCTTTTGCAGTCGTTGTAGAATAATTGTGTGATTGTTCCACTAGATTACGTGTTGTTGTTAGTGCTGCTGTTGTTACTTGTTTGTTTGTGTTTGTGTTTTTTTGTGGGGGTTTTTTTGTTGTTCTTGTTCTTGCTGTTGCTGTTTTCTTCCTCCGTCTGTTTTTTGTTGTTGTTTTTTTAAAGAGTTTTTAAAGAGTTTTGACCAATCTTTAATTTGTGCTGAGCTAGGTGTTTCTCAACAAACAGACTGTCACCTTCTAGGTGTCAATGTGTGGAAAAAAAACCCACTAGGTTACGGTGTTTTCGTTGGAAAGAAAGGATGCCTCGACTTAAATTTGCTAACAGGTTTTACGTGCAATTTTTGTTTTCATTTCTGAAGAATAACATAGCGTTTGAATGTACTCTCTGTCTCCTTCTTTTTTGTTTAAACTGAACAGGCCCGGTTGGCGAGGGTAAATTTAATATAGTCAAAGGTAATATCATGTGTTTAGTTCCTACGGTTGTGTGAAAACCGCTTCAAATTGTACATTTTTAAATCCCTCAAAGTAAAGCCATATGTGTTTCAGGGGCTCTCGTGGCCTAGAGGTTAAGGTGTTGGCCTCTCATTCAGAGGTCCCTGGTTCGAATCCGGGTAGTGACCGAAAAATTTTCTTCTCCAAATTTGTCTCCTTTCATTCCTTTCCTGCTCTCTAGCAATGTTCTTTCGTCTGCTTTCGTCTCCTCTTTCTGCCCCAACTCCCTCATCTCCTTTGCCTCCCTCCTCTGAGCTCCTAATTCTTTCTACAGCCTTTCTACAGCTACTCCTTGGCTTCTTCTTACTGCTGTCTTTCAGCCACACCCCTGATCTTTTGGTAGGAAAGATCTACACCTAGCCTTCTCGGACAAGGGCTAAAAATCTTGGAGGGCCCGTGATCAAATTGCGCACGTTAAAGATCTCTTGCCGGTCTAAAATCGATAAGAGTAGGCTTCGGCAGCCACCCGGGCAAAATTCCAAATTTCCTACAAACTGAAAAAGTTTAATGTGTCCCGCGCGCTCATATTACCTTTTGCAGTTGCGAGTGCCGTAAAGCACTTACAACAACAAAAAAATACGAGTTTCAACAATATTTGTGTCACTTCGAAATGATAATATTATTAGTGATACCAGTACCAGTGGTTTCCTAAGCGTGTGTCCAATCCACCGTCATCTCTGCTTCTCGACCTCCCTGTTTTACTGGGTTTTGTTTAGTTTTCCTCCGTAGTACATGTACTGTGTTTCTTATGGCGTCCAACGAGTAGAAACCATGATCTTCCTCAGACCACCATTAACGAAGGACTGTATTTTTTGTTTGATTTCTGTTTTGTTGGTTTTCATGTTTTCACGAACGCAATATTATCATCAAAAAATTCCTACCAATATTTTGCCTATACAATAACCCTATCTAGCAAAAACCCATTGTGTGCAGGATGAGGTGCCTTTTCTTCACATGCTGAATTTTTTTCAGCAGAGTATTTACTGAAATTTGGAATTGGGGGTAATGGTGTGTGTGTGTGTATGTGTGTGTTTGTGTGTGTGTGTGTGTGTGTGTGCGTGTGTGTGTGTGTGGTTGTTTGTTGTTTATTGGGGGGGGGGGGGGCGCAAACAGGACGCCAACGTGCCCAGAAACTTGCAAGGATGAATAATTATTACGACACCTGAGATCGCTTACGATTTTGGTCCCTTATTTTGGTAATGACAAAATGGTCTGCTTCCCCAGCTTTTGGATTGCCTTTGCATTTAGAGGGGGAAAAATCCCTTGATCCTTACAGAGGGGCAACCTCTCCTGATATTTTTTACAACAACAGTGAACAATTAGCACTTGGCATCCAAGGACAAAAATCAAAGACTTTTTCTATCAAAATTCAAAAGAGTGTTCAAAGTACTATTTTGTTCAATGGTTCTCAAGGTAATATTTTGTAATCCGAATAGTATTTGATCGAGTAAACAGAATCGCACATCAGTTTTCTGCTCTTCCAATTCTTTGTTGTCGAAGAAAATACTCACTGCTATACTGTTCTGTTGAGTCAATAAAAATAACATTTTTTCGGTACTAACAGAATGGTTGGTCTCTAAAAGAACGCTGTGTATACATAGACTGTATTCTGTTCTCAGGGCCGGTATCTTCCTCCATGTCACCGAGAGCTGACGAGAGCTGTGGTCTCCATTGACAAAGTACTGTTTGGTCACTCAACACGGCTGGGCCTTTCTCCCTGGCTCTCCGAGGCTTTTGTTGAATGTCCTGTTACCATGTTGGAACAACGTGAACAATGCAAAACATCAAGCAAAGAGGGAACGAAACGCGTCTTAAAAACTAGGGAAAGAGAGGTGAGTTTGACACTGTCTTCGCCGTATGCGTTAGTCTAAGGATTACGGTTGTTGCAGACTTGTTTCTAGAACTAACTGTCAGAGCTGTTGAGAGGATTAGTTGATTACGTAATCTTAAGTCGGGCGCGTGGCGGAGGAAAGTCAAGCAGGCAGCATGCACAATGTTGTCTACCCAGCGAGATGTGTGCTCTCAGCGATTTTCCACCGCATTTTCCATTTTCAACAAGATTTGTTTGAGTTTTTTTGGGAGACAAAACTTAGTCAGTTGTTCTATAAACTTACAAACTAGCCAACAAACTACCAAATCTACACAAGAAAGAGAGAGAGAGAGAGAGAGAGAGAGAGAGAGAGAGAGAGAGAGAGAGAGA